AAATGTCCCAAATTCGTACACGAATTACCCAATTTTACTGCAATTTACTACACAATCTAAAACGGTGTTAAAATGTCCATTAATTGCTGACGTGGAAGGCCACGTGGGTGACGTGGAATGTCACGTGGAAAATTTTGTCTTGTCAGCATGCCACGTCAGATTTAAAAAAATTAAAAAAATTTAAAAAAAACTTAAAAAAAATAAAATAAAATAAAATAATAAAAAAATACATATATATACATATACATATAAATATATATACATACAAACATATATAAATACATATACATATATACATGTATATATATATAAACATATGCAATACATATATATTGTATATATACATATATATATATATGTATATATACATACAAAATAAAAAAAAATACATATATATATATATACATATATCTATACGTGTATATACATATATATTCATATCTATATACAAATACAAATATAAACATATATACTCCTATGTATTAATATATACATACAAAATAAAAAATATACACATATATATACATACATCTATACAAATATATATATATACATACAAATATATTTATATATACATAAATTTTTAATTTGATATACAAGTATATATTTATATATACATTAAAAAATTAAAAATACATATATATACTAATATACATATATGTACATACAAATATATTTATATATACACAAATATATGTATGTATGTATATTTGTATAGATGTATGTATATATAGATATATTTATACATAAGATTATATATATTTATATTTGTATTTGTATAAGATATGAATATATATGCATATACATATAGATGTATGTATATATATTTTATTTTATTTTGTATGCATATATATATATATATATGCATTGTATATGTTTATATATAAATACATGTATACATGTATATGTATATATATATGTGTGTGTATATATAAATATATTTATATGTATGTATATGTATATATGTATTTTTTTCGATTCTTTTTTTACTTTTTTATTTATTTATTTTTAAATCTAACGTGGCGTGCTGACGTGGTAAAATTTTCCACGTGGCCTTCCACGTCATCAATTAACGGATATTTTAACACCGTTTCGGATTGTATAGTAGATTGTAGTAAAATTGGGTAATTCGTGTGTGGATTTGGGACATTTGATAATATAGTGTAGATTTTTTTCAAATTAAAAATTCGTGTAAAGAAATATCACATTTTACTAAATTGGTGTACGAAAATGTCATTTTCTCTATTAAAAAAAATCCAAGATTTTGATGGTTCCTAATTTATTATATATATATATATATATATATATAGATAAATAGATATATAAATGAAAAACAAACAAAAGGGTACAATTCAACGATGAGATAATCTCATAATAAACTATTCCATCTTCCAAATCTTAAAAACGACATGAAAAATGTAATAAAAAAGTCAATGATACCTCCAATTATTTCTTTTATTTTGTTTTTCATAAAAGTACTTAGAGCAGACCTAACCACGTTTATTTCTTTATTAATTTCTTCAGAACACAATCAAATTCCAATATGGTTATGGTTTAATTTCAGTTGGTTCAGTCTAAAAAAATATCGAAACAATATTTAGAAAGAAAAAACTGTTTTTTTTATAATCCAAAATTCACCAAATATTTGGTCCAACTATGTTGTTAGATTGGATTCAGTTTTCAGATTTTGTGAAACAATTGCTCATCAAAATAAGAAACATTATTTTCTATTCAAATTTTCATTATCTAAATATTAAATCTGGTTTTAAAATTTTCGATTAAGAAAACAACATTACCTAAATGAAATGAATAAAACTTTGATTCGGTTCAGTTCAGTTTAGTTACTTCAACTCTTACAAACTAATCGAAAATATAACCCTAAACAAAATTTTCATCCACCGACACTGACTCGAACTATATTATAAATTTCACACTTGCTCACGTGATAATGTTTTCCTTGCACATACGGAGCGTATAGATTTCCCCAAAACCGAATTGTTTTTACGCAAAAAAAAAGAGATTCGTACGTATATCGAAGTAAACGATATTTAAGAAAATAATAAATTAAATACAAAAACAAATTATAGAGTAAATTATACCTTCGCCATTGTCGTTGGCCCGAAGGACGATGAAGACGTACTTGAGAAGGGGGATGAGAGCGAGCGTGTAGATGATGAGCGAGAGAACACCAACCACGTCATCTCTGTCGTCGATCCCATCTGGGAAAGTGCTCGCATATACATACAATGGCGATGTCCCTATATCTCCGTACACCACTCCTATGCTTTGAAACGCTTTTAAGAATCGAAAATAATTAAAAAAATATATCTGTATTATATATTCGAAGGTTAGGTTTTTCTACGATTATATTCTAATATTAAATCAAGAATAGTAAGAGTTTTTAATAACATTTTGCTCAAATCTTTAAAAATATAATATATAATACCAGAGAAGATTTGACGATATTCGATGGAGTTTTTCCGGCTTCCACGTGGAAAGAGTCGATACGATCGAGTTTCTCCCACGACATCTGATGCAAGAACACATGAGATATATATATTAGTACTATATATAGGAAGAACAAGATTCTCCATATAATGAAACATTGATCGAAAATTATTTATTTTCATATATATGATTGATTTTGGAAGCAAATGTTGTAATCAATGTATACATGTATGATCAGAAAATGTGAAGAGCATACCTTCCTGTCTTTCAACTCGTTCTCATGACCCGCTTGGTCATTGGTTGGCTGTTTATCTTCCATCTCTCTCTCTCTCGGATTTGTTTTTGTGGGCTTTAGAGAGAGGCGAAAAGGGAGTAGAAATGCTCGCAAGGGAAGGATTGGTCTTTATAGGCAACAAGATTTCATTGACTTTGATTTAAGAATGTGCCAATGGTGAATAGCCACTTACTCCCATTCTCAATAATTACACTTTTTTAGTGATTATACCAATGCTTGGACGCGTTCCTTACACGTCTTATAGCCGACTGTTGAACTGTTAAACAAATCTTGCTTAATTAGGGCAAATCTCTTGCACAAAATTACAAATAACGCACACTACATATACAGTAACTTTTTTTTGTTTTGGTAAAGTGCATATATAGTAAGTGCAATATATATATATATATATACGGAGATATGTTGGTAATGCTAGCGTTTAATTTCTTCAATAATATTAAGATGAATAGTATTTAATTCATATTGCATTTAATGAAAAATTAATATTGATTTCATGTGAGTACTATTAATACAACAAAACTAATTTTTGGATTCTTTTTTACCTTCTGACTAGCTTAAAGATTAATTTTCCTAAATTTACCTTTGTATATAGATCAATCCTCATATATTTTTTTTTCCAAATTATTCAATTTCATTCATATTTAATTTATATATGATACGGTACAAAAAATTTAAGTTAATATGATTCAAAAAAGGAAAAATGAATCAACTGTACGTACGTATGTATGTATATATGTATAGGATTAACTGTACGTACGTATGTATGTATATATGTATAGGATTAACTGTACGTACGTATGTATGTATATATGTATAGGATTAACTGTACGTACGTATGTATGTATATATGTATAGGATTAACTGTACGTACGTATGTATGTATATATGTATAGGATTAACTGTACGTACGTATGTATGTATATATGTATAGGATTAACTGTACGTACGTATGTATGTATATATGTATAGGATTAACTGTACGTACGTATGTATGTATATATGTATAGGAACCATAACCGCATTAATGTTTTAGCTTGGAGTGATGTAATTTATATATATAGACGTACTTTAAAAAAATGGCCCAACTATTGATGAATGGAGAGAGGGAGAAAGTCAACCAAAATAATGTTATATATATATCTTATAAATTCGATAATTTCACTAAATAAAGTTTATAAATGATAGAGTATATTCTTGGAGTTCAAAGAATACCCACATGAACAAAAAGTTAATATAAAATAATGTTATATATATAACAGCAAAATTGTCAATTAATGTGTAACCCCAAAATTGTTATAATAGTAGTAGTTGTAGCAATAATGTACCACTTAATTATTATAAAATTTATCAGTATAATATTTATCTAATAATTGAATTTAGTATCAATATATAATAGGTAAACTGTATTTGGTATGACATAATTAATCGTTTCTTTAATAATATTCCGATTAATATTTTTTGTTTATATTATTCACAGGGTTTTATTGTCTTCGAAGTATTTGCAAATTAAGGAAACAATACAAAATAATGGCACTTTTTTATTTACCTATCATCATATAAAAAAAATCCTACTACTTTTGATTGTATATCATCCATAATAGACATAATATTGATTTAACCTAATCTATCTTCTTTATTTACACTTCATACAAATAATGTCGGGCCGAATATTATTATTAACCTTGTGTTATAGATGAAAAATGTAGTAATTAATTAATATGGAGGAATTAAATTTAAGTTCAACATTTCTTCATAGATTGCTAAAGGTCATAGTCAAGTATATTATTGCAGAAACACCCGCCTCGGATAATAACCACATCGGAGGTATAAATAAAAGTCATATAGTCAATTAATAACCAATCTACATTATAATTAAATTTAGTCTAATCCTATAATTACCTAATAATTAGAATTTCTGTCTTTTTCCTGCTATGTTCATCAAACGTGGACAATTTTAATTGAATGACATCAGCACCCAATACTTTTATTTTACCTGTAAAATTTGACCTTTAATAGTGCTGTACATTTCCAATTTAGATTATTTCTAGTTTGATTTATTTTTAGATAATATGTAATCATATTTTTTTATCAAAAATTATTTTAAAAAAGTTAATACCTAAAAAAGTTATGAGACCGAAAAATTGAACCTCTCACATGAATAGCACACATCAAATTAATGTAAATTAAAACCTCAAAATTGTATTCAACAATTTTAAAAAAATCAAAAATTGTGATTTTCTCAAAGGAATTGCACATATAAAATAAATGCAAAACGAAATCTTCAAAAATGTTAACAAGAACAGAGTTTTCCGCTAGTCTAGGTCCAAATCTACGCAATGTACACATTAGTACGCAACTCTTCAAGCATATTAATAAAGAGTAATAAATAGATCACCAATAATAATAATAATAAACACGTTGGATTCTTACCAAAAAAAAAACCAGAAGAAGCCCTTACCATAACCGGTTGGGATGTTTACTGCAAGAACTCTCTTGGGTCAGTGACAAAACCGGTTAAAGCAGAAGCTGCGGCCGTGTACGGCGAGGCCAGGTATATCTGCCCTTCCTTGTGGCCCATCCGACCGGGGAAATTCCTGTTCGTCGTCGAGACACAAACCTGCAAGCAACAACAATTCCAATGTGGTGATCTATAAGCATTACCCTGTCCTGTCAGATCATCTCTCTACTTGAAAACATTTATACAGAACCGATCCCCCAAAAAAACTATGTTCCGATTACCGAAAAGGCTTGTGTGCAGAAGGAATGTCAAGGGAATGAGATCTTTTACTGAAAAAACCCCGATTCTAACTCAGGTGCTTCAACTTCTGTGACAATGATGATCCTATGCCATTGATAATCTATTACTGCATGATAAATATCGTTGTACTGAAAGCAAAATGATGATGAGAGCATTTTCATCACCGCTCTGTCGAGTATTTAGTATTTACTCCAAGCATGTAACAGAACAACACGGTTGATTCAACATTCCAGGCAGATCAGGCATGCAAAAAGCTGACTATACTTGCAAAGTTTCGATTTTTTTTACTAGTTAGATTAGCCCAAGATGAGAAAAGAGAGCATTGCCTGAGGTTCATTTAAACGAGCGTAGGTGTCTAGTGGGCCACCAATGCAAGCACCACAGCTAGGACTGGTCGGCGTGTCACAGCCAGCTTCTTCAAATATCTGAGCACAGGTCTTTCCACCTGATCCCGGTACCGGGATGGTATACAAGTCCATCCATACCTGCAGAATGAAAAATACAATCGCGGGCATTCGATTTCGTATTCTGAGAACATTATTAATCACATGATACTGATATGTAGTGCTAACCTTTTGAGTGGCTGGGACAAGGAAAGTAGGCGCCTTGACCTTTTTGCCCTGCAAATAAACAATTATGTTCCATCAGGCTATATTGCAGCCTCAGATCATGTTGAGTTCAAAATAACACATCATTTTGCAAGATTCGCATGATGTGAAGCTTCCGGATCACATTGAGAAAATCTATGTTCGACGCATTTTGATAGAACCCGAGATTGGATTCTTTAGAAAATTTTGTTTAGCCTTAGTAATCAACTAAAAACTTTTCGATAGAATCCAACCTCGGGTTCTATCACACATCTACCAAGAAGTAAACAAGATATGGAACTTACTGCAGCCACGAAAAGTTTAGCGGCAGCCATAAAATCCTCCGTCTTTCCACCAGTACAAGAGCCAATATACACTCTATCGATTTTCACATCTTTGCATTCTCTTGCTAAAGCCCGATTATCAGGTGAATGAGGCTGCAGAGAAAATCAAACACTAGAAAATCAGTTATAATATCCAAACTGTCCTGAAACCACGAAACATTTTCGATTGTAGCCTCGTTACACCCACCTTAGCCACGATTGGCTCCAGCTCTGACACATCAAATCTATATTCAGAAAGATAGCTGTGGGAGCGATAAACAAAAAGCAGTGAACATAAAAGAAAGCTTAGAGCACTGGAAAACACAACTATGGAGCTTACTTTGGACATGAGAAAAATCATATTTCATGCTAAAGCTCCACAAATTTAACAATTGCACGTTAAGTTAGGCGAATGACCGTCCAAAATATTCTCCCAATCTCCCAATCAAACCTTTAAAGCTAAAAAAATTCACTCTATGACTTAGAAACAGAGAACAAAAGATACTCTTACATTACATTTATGACCACTTCATGTTAATTAGGAAAATCCAATAAACTATTGCTTAGAGCAAGCAAAGGAGCACATATCTACTGTATATGCAGCACATTAAGGTGGTGTGAAAGTGCCCTGCTGCGTGGAGAAATCTTGAAACATGCACGTAAAATCATGTGTGAGAATATTATACATCTAGCATATCCAAACTAGCACATAAGGCTCCAAATACATGATAATCATAACCCATATAATGCACCAAGGAAACACCACAATGTTGGACACTTTTTTTTTTTCTTTTGGCATTCTATTTACAATTTAGGGTACCATGTAATTGTACCTTGCATTTCCATCGCTATGCACCGGCTCATAGGGAACAGATGTCCTACTCTGTAGCATAAGATCGGAAGTGAACCAATTTTTGCACATACAGTAAAAAGTCAATTGTGCTTCAAAATTTGTTCACGAGAAGAAGAAATAGCCACTCAACCCCAAGGTACTTAAACGTAGTAGCATCGGGTGGGATGACACCATTCTTTCCACCAGCTTCTACAACCATGTTGCATAATGTCATTCTTTCTTCAATCTAGCATATGCGAACAGATCAAAGCAAAGATTGTAGATCTTTTTATTCCCGAAGAAAAAAAAATATCACTTTCTAGCAAACACAAAGTTCTCTTACATTTAAACTTTCAACAGTTGTACCAACAAACTCCATTGTCTTGTAGGTCGCACCAGCAACAGATATCTCACCAATAATCTGCAAAGTTGGCAGTAGGTTCAAGATCCAAAATAAAACAAAAACTTTGCTCCTGGTACCAGAAATTTCATAACGTGTTCCTTTACCACTCCACTAGAGCAAGAAAAATCGTTGCAGAAGAAAAAATACCCAAAAACGATGAGATTATACAGATTTAGATTGGAAATTCCACAGTATTATGATACTTGCTGTGAGTTAAAAATGGGACAACTCCGCCTCAACTAAAGCAGAACCTTGTCTTTAAAAAGTTTGTAAATACTAGTTGGAAAGGAAATAAATGTTGTACAATGTATCAAACTCACTTGCAAAATCAGATCCTTGGCAAGCAAATAATCTGGCATTTCACCATCCATGACAAATCTTAGTGTCGGCGGGACCTGCAAAATCAGGATACACACTTGTACAAACTACAAATGAGGATAAATACAAGGGGAAGCATGTCATACATTAGCTCCGATGGAGTTTGAAACATGTGTTACTGTGACATGGGCTTTTTGAGTTGAAATGGAACTGGCAACTCTTAACTTCATTCCACAATAATGGAAAATCAAACAAAAAGAATAGACCAAGATAGAAAACCTTAAGGAGGATCTTTCCAGTGCCCAACACAAAACCTGCATCAGTGTTTCCGATACCCGTTGCAAATTCACCAAACGCTCCAGCTGTACAGGTGTGTGAATCTGTTCCTAGTAAAACCTAAAGTGATGAATGATATTAATCATTAATTAGTAAAGAAAATATAATTCAACAAATAAGTCATATCCATCCACGCATCAGATTTTTACCTCTCCAGGCCTGCAATGACCTTCTTGTGGAAGTGCAACGTGGCATACACCTTTGTAGTCAGGATTTGCCTATAAAATGATCAGAGAGAGCTCAATATACCTTATTGCAGAAAAAAACTAAATCTTTCATCATGAAGCATACAAATGTGAACCTATCATACCCTGAAATTACCACGGTCTGTAATATCATAGAAGTACTTGATATTCTGGTCTGTGCAAAAGTCCCGTAGGATGTCCACATTACGATTTGCACGCTCATCACTTGTGAATATGTAGTGGTCAGGTATGACGACAATCTTCTCCCGGTCCCAAACCTTCAGCATGTAATTACCAATACCATTAAGTCACCTCAGAGATAACAAATACATAATCATACCAAAAAGTAATCAGATGCACTGAGCTGAAGGCATCCCAATGTATTTTAGACATAATCATAGCATGGACCTGAATCTTTAAATTAGTACTTCAGAGCAAACCAAACCAGACAAACAAAGTCATTTCTAGTAACAAAAACTTCCGAACAAATGAAATCAAGCTTTCAACAAAGCAATCATAGCACAAACAGAAACAATAGAAGAGGGAAAAAAAAGTTCAATACCTTTGCATTTTCGCCAAATTCTCTCTTGAAGATGCCAAATGCACCAGGGCCACAGACATCATGTGTCATTAAGACATCAACATTAACCCAAACATTGTCACCAGGGACCAAATGAGACTTCTCTGCTGCCCTCGCTAGAATCTTCTCTGTCATCGTCATCCCCGTTTTCACCTACAAAACCCCCCAAAAAAAAGCCGTACTGGAAGATATAAGACAATACCAAAAAAAAATTCAAAAGAATCGAATTGTTGTCAGATGAAAGTCGAGAGACGAAAAACGAAAAGAGCTCAAACCGATCCTGTGGTGCTTGGCTTGCGTTCCGCCTGCTGCGGCGTCATCACCGACACGATCTTCCTGGAAATCGATTCCCTCTGACATCTATGAGCCGATACCTGCGAAGACTTGGGAAATGCCGAGAATCCCAAATCACTCTGCATTGGGGGGAAAAGGAGGGCACGAACAATCATATCCCCCAACAAAAACGAAGCTACAGAATCGAAAATTGCAAGAGAAAAATAGAAAAACCCAGAAAATAAAAGACGGCGGAATCGAAGAAGGCGAAGAGAGCAAAGCAAATGGACCTTAGAGGTTTTGCAGAAAAAGGAAGATGGAGGAACAACAGAGGAAGCCATTGTTGCTCTTCTGTAATCTTTCTTTTGTTCCGGATTGGGCGTGTGCGAGACCTAGGGTTCTTCAGCGTTTTTCCTGCTGTAAACGGAAGGGCCGCAATCACATAGACAGACAGACAGAGAGAGCATGTACCGAATCGGCAAAAGAGTCAGCAAGTTGGTGGTGTTGACGTATAATCCACGTGGCGTAACCAGGGAGCTGCATCATAACCCGACACGTTATGCATGAAAAAATATAAATACAAATAGATTTCTAACCAAATCATTAGCAAAATTTCAATTCAACTATAGTCTATCTATATATATATATATGGATTCGACTCCTCCCGCGATATGGGAGTTAGAGCAAAATAAAATATAATTAGTGAAAGAGAAATTTAATAGAGCAAAATAAAAATTTCTTATTAAATTTCTCTATTAAATTTCTTACAAACTTATGAAATTTAATAGTTGGTGAAAGAGAAAACATTATATAAATATATAAATTTGTTATAAAAATATCATATTAATACATAAAAAATAATGCATTTTACAAAGAATTTTAAAAACATTGTATAATATTTGATATTTTTCTCTTATTTAACGTGTAGTTTTTAAGAAGTTTTGCAAATTTTCATATATTTTTTTAGATTACCTGTATATTATATCGATTTAATTATGAAAAGATCGTATATTTTAAAAAAATATAAAAAATTCATATATTAGCATATGAGTTGATAACAAATTTGAGTGTTTATAAAATTTCTTTTTTAGCGAAAACATTATATATGGGTATATTTAGTAACTTTAATCCATTATTTTATTTTATGTTAAATTTTTAAAATGTTTCGCCTAAAATATATGTGGAAAACTTTCCAGATACTATTTTTACCGGGGTAACAAAAAATAGATTTGAAATTATATTCTAATTTTTTTTTCAAAATAAGAATAATCTATGCCATAATTCTATATAACCTGTGTGGATTGTCTATTAAACTTATCAAAACAAGTGTTAACTTGTCGTTGCGTTACATTGTACGTGAATAAGTTATCAATAACATACGCTTGGAAAATAATAATATAAATAATTTTCACCCAAAAAATAATATAAATAAGAATGATCAATGTGATCGGGGTCAAGTAGCGTAATCCGGAATATTAAATTCGGATTCGAGCAAGTTCTAAATGTCTATCAAGTACTCGATCATCAAAAATATAACGAGTTCTGGTAGATCCATGTTAGGATTTTAGTTACTCATATAACCCAAAAAGTTTATATATATATATATATATATATATATATATATTTAAAATTAAAACTCAAACGAAACTAAAAAGACATATAGTCAAGGTAGGAAAATATGATTATTAGATGAGTAACATCTCGTCTTCCTAAGATTTTCTTCTAAATACCCTTATATCTAGTCATCTTATTTGATCATTTGGCAATCAGTTTAATTATTTATTTCTTTTTTCTTATTACTATTTTATAATTTAACTTCAATCCTAAACACTAAACATCAAAACTTGTATCTTAAATTATAAATTATAAACACTAAATTCTAATATCTAAACTTTCAATTATAAGCACTAAATCCTAAAATCAATCTTAAAATCTAGAATTCTAAACTATAAATTCTTAATCTTGTGGTATAAAATTGACGGTTTATGGGTTACAGTTTAGAATTAGATTCGACTTTATAACATATTTATGGATTATAGTTTTAGGAATTAGGGTTTAATTTAGTATTTATGTTACTGTTAAATTATGAACACTAAAAAGGGAAAATTGAAATTTAAAAACTGGCCACTCAACTCGTTTCCACGTTTGCCCGACATCATTACCATCTCTTGCATACAAAAACAGACTTGTAAGCCATTGACCTTAGACACAAAAGCGTTGACCTTGACCTGTCCGCGCGCTCTCTCTTCACAACATAACCAAATATATACCCACAGACCCACAAACCCATCAACCATTATTCCCTCGTCTTTCTTATTTCTTCTTGTGCCGCCATTAATGGAGGAGCTCCACGAAGCAGCTATAGCGTACTACAACAATGGCACGGACGAGCAACGAGCCCTAGCGTGGCAATTCTTCCAAGCGATGGACACCGACCACGACGGCCGAGTCAGCTTCCACGAGTACTCCGATTTCCTCCGCCGCACCGGCGGCTTCCCCCCTCACCTCCCCCGAGTACTCCGATTTCCTCCGCCGCCCCGGCGGCTTCCTCCGGCCACAGAGCTTCCAAGATCTCGACCGCGACCGTAACGGCTCCCTCGACTTCTGGGAGGTCCTCACGCTCTACTACATCGCTCGGACACGGACCCTCACGTGCCGCACGTGCCATCGGAGCCTCGAGGGCCTCCACTTCACGTGTCTCGCGTGCTTCGACTCGCCGAGTCACGAGTCGGCGACGTTTGATCTGTGTGTTTCGTGTTATAGGGCTCGGACTTACGACCATCACCACCGGCTGTTCTTGGACAGTTATGTCTTGCTCCGTTCACGGCGTAGAAATCATCCTCAGTTGGTAACGTTTTCTTTTCCTTTTTCTTATGATTTTTTTTTATGTATATATATATATCTTTGGATTTTTTTTGTCTGCATTGTTAGATTATTATTTTTGAGATTGATAAGTTTAGATTTGGTTGTTTGGTTGGGGCTTTTCTATGGAGAATTTCTCAATCGAATTGGTTTTACATCAAGGAATATTTTTGGGAGAATTTCTCAATTTAATATATATATATATATATATATATATATTTGATAATTTTTTAAAAATAATTTATTGGTATGTATCCTCCTTCAAGGTGTATAAAAGTATATTTGATGTGGTCTCATGTAATAAATTATGTCCACATGGGTATTTTTCTCCCCAAAAAATAAATGACGTGTGAAGGAGAGGGACAGCACATCAGCAACGCGACTTAGTTGTTCTTTAGGGTTTTAGATTTCATTGTTTTTAAATCCATTTTCTACTTTGAAAAAAAGTAATATCTATCGTTTTTGTACTGGATTTTTTTAATTTTCGATTACTTTTGTATCCAAAATTTATATCTGTCAAAAAAAAATATTAGCGTTGTTATATTGTAAGATACTAATAAATTTAATATCAACTTGATAAATGGATTTATATTATAATGTTTTTTTATGTAAATTGTTGGTATTGACATGGTGCAGCCGGATCCACCCGTGGCACCCCCTCCAAATCATAACCCACCTCAAGACATTGCAGCTCTACAAAACCCTGCAAGGGTAAATCCGTCCTTCGCAATATACACACACACACACACACATGCGTATGCATATATATATATTTACGCTTTCATTAATATATACACGCACACAGACATACGTACATGTATGCATATATGCATGCGCACACACATGCATGCATACATACACACATGTAAGGAATGTAATGGGGTGAACAATGTTGCAGATGAGATGGTGGCATGCATTGAAAGCAATGGAAATAGCTCTTGCTGTCGGAAACCTAGCCACGTTTTGCACCATTATGTGATATATATATATATATATATATCACATTTTTTTTATTGTCGTCCCATACTATTTTTTTTTTGTTACTTAAATTCTGGTTTCTTTGTGACAAAAATATCTGTGTTTGCTTTTTCGCATAAAGAAATTTACTTTGCGATAAAAAAATGTTTGTGTTGGTTTCCTGTACGGAGAATTTTAAAATCGAATTATTTACATGTGAAAATACCGGTTTACAAATTATTGGATTTTTCAAAACTAAAAAAAAATATCGTTGTCTCTTGGTCCCTTAATGTTCGAATCCCACCTTACAATCTTAAGGTCAGTCTTTTACCGTTTTGTACGATAATCCAAAGATATAAAACATTAATGTAAATATACAATACAATATTTAAGATATTGATTGATAGTTGAACACCGTTTATGATATTGGATATTTCGTGATCAATCTAAAAAAATATATGGTCGTCGATAAATAATGATCAACGAAGAAAGCAATGGAAATGAATTTCTAAAATATTGGTATTATTTTAAAATATAGGGAACTTAATTTTTTATTCATTAAACAACTAAATATTCATATTTTTGAAATAATAAAGAAAAACCATTGATGAAAAACTTATCAAGTTTTCTAACAAAATTAGGAATCATAATTTTATATAATTTATAAAACTTATTTCTAAAACTAAGAAAATCCATTTATGAAAATGTAAAACAATATGTCAAAAAAGCAATACTCATAATAAAAAAATATGAGTAATCTTAATTTTATATAATTTATAAAACTTATTTCTAATTTTTTTTTCGAAAATAAAATTTAAAAAAACCCTTTTTGAATCATATCCATCAGGAAAATCACTACGTATGGATGCGTTCGAATCCTTATCTGGGGAAAAGTAGAGTATTTACATAGATTTTTCCGTTTTTTGTGAAAGATATAATCGGATCATAGATTCGATGAACCGTAAAAAATTTTAATTTTTTTACAAAAAAATATTTAATTTCTTTCACATATGGAATAAATAATATGTAAGCGCTATATAATTCAGGGCAATTTTATTGCAAGAAAAAAACAAAAAAAAAATCGCGATCACTCAGCAAGGACCGCGACTCCAAACCGCGGTTGTCAACGCGAGAACTCGTGGATGTGCGGCACGAGGAGAGAGGCAGAGAGAGAGAGAGATAAGACACACTCGCTTGTCTCTCTGTTCGTCTTCTGGCGGGAAGCTACTCTCTTGCAGAAAAAGCCCTAAGTAGGACAATTCCCGAGCAAACCCATACCATAGCATTTTCTGGCAAAATCTCCTTTTTTTTTTGGGTTCTTTCTTCTTCTTCTTCTTCTTCCTCTTCGGGAAATTGGAAGGAGGGAGGATGTATTGGTTGGCAACCAGGAACGTCGTCATTTCGCTCCCCAAATGGCGATCCTTCGCCTTCCTTCTCCGTTCCCGCTCTCGTAGATTCGCTTCCTTTAAACCCTCGCATCCTCTACTGTATGCCCCTCTCTCTTCTTCTCTCTGTCATATACATGAGCTCTTGTTCGTGTTGTCTCTGAGTGTATGTGTGAGTTGATTACTGTATGAACTTACATGTCGAATTTTGTGAAATGAGCTTGTGGGAAGTTTCGGTTTTTGTTTATGGGCGAAGCTGAAATCTTTCTTGGACTTTTTGTTTCTGATTTTAACGGTGAGCTTTAATAAAGTGGTTGTACTTTACCAAAAAAAAAGTGGTTGTACTGTAATGCCCGGACGATAACCTTTCCGGACAGGGGAGATTCCCGTGTTCGAACACAATTCGGAGATGGTGGACTCAGAGAAATAGCATTCCTTTGTTTTCTTAAGCCACTTCGCTTCTAGGGGTCTCTTTTGTTTAGTTGGTGTTGCAATTCGGAATTCTGGTTTGACGTGTTTGATGTCATTGATTTCAGCGTCTAGGTCTGTTTATGTAGTGTTTTTTTGTTCTCTGTGAACAGAGGCTGTTTGATTCAGGCTGTTTATGTTGTGGTTTTGGGGTCCTGGCTTTTGATATGAAATTAACAAATCTAAGATCTTCAGGTGTTTGCGATTGTTAGTGTTCTTGGCCTTAAATTCTTAATAAAAACCTGTCTTGATGGTTCTTGCTTGGTTGGTTAGTAATAAAGGGTACTCTCAAAGCATATACTGTTTCAACGATCAGAAGGTTCTAAAAGGAACTACGAAGGCTGCTAAGAAAGTTAAGACATCAGGTGATGTTCTCAGTGACAAAGATTTCTCTCATCTGGTTTGGTGGAAGGAGGTATGTGTCTTGACATGGTCTTGTCGTAAAACGGTTGATGATTGAACTTAACTTATGTTCCACTCCCTGCCATGGCATTCTAATTTTTGTTTTCTCCATATCTTCTTTTTGGGCTTTCCAGAGATTGCAGACATGCAGGAAACCTTCCACGCTTCAGCTTGTCAAAAGGCTTACGTACACCAATTTACTTGGTTTGGATACCAACTTGAAGAATGGAAGGTCAGTATTATTGAAACTATGAGAAAAGTGTATTTGCTTATCAACTTGTCAATCTCTATAAGACTATCACTCTTTCTCGATGTTAGCTTAAACTACTAAACTTCATGTGTATCTTAGTACGGCTTAGGAGACTATATCCATTCTTGATAGTAATTTCTATAGTACGCAACTACGCATGGATAAAGATTTAGTATACGTAAAGTTTTAAGGCAAGCATTATTTTCTTGAGTTGGAATGTTGGATACAATGTAGTAGTGCTCAATCTACTGGTCACACCAGTTCTTAGTTACTAGTACTAGTAGTCGTTGCTGCTATCTCTTTTTATCAAGTCTGTCTCGTCTATGAATTATCTCCGTTTCAGTTTGAAAGATGGAAACCTCAACTGGGAGATATTGCAATTCAAGTCAAGGTTTCCGCGCGAAGTTTTGCTCTGCAGAGTATGTCGATTTTGTCTCTCACAGTCTCCTGTATTGGCGTTTGACTTGTGCTTTTTGCTCTCCAACATGATATAGCTATTCAATTTTCTTTCTTTTTTCTTTTTATTAGCTTCACTAGCTCTGTGTTGCCTTGTTGGCAATGATTAATAGAAAACTGCCAGTTAGGATTCATGTTCTGAAGCTTTTTGTTCCAGGTAGGAGACTTTTATGAGGCTATTGGAATCGATGCTTGCATACTCGTTGAATATGCTGGTTTGAATCCATTTGGTGGTCTCCGTTCAGATAGTATTCCAAAGGCTGGCTGCCCTGTGGTGGTATATAATCCCTTTCAAACATCAAATTCCCTCTCGTCGAGGCTTTTGTTTCAGTTCGAGATGATCTTTTACTGTGAACAGTTTGTTCCTGTGTTAAAACATGCTACTTTAATGTGGACATTGTCTTGAAAGAAATATTTTGCTTAGCAAAAATGGGCAAATAAAATAAGGACAGCCTGTTGTTTCTTAAATTGGATGGGAGAGAGGTTTCTAGGCTCTTTTTTATTAGAAGGTAAAGAGGCTAAGCTAGAAAATTTCCCAGGGGATCACAGTTTTGATTTCTTTCCTTAGGATGGTATAGTTTTAATGGTATTTTATTCTGAATCTATTTACTCTCTAGGAGTTTTAGTCACTGCAGTGATACTGGCCAAACTAACATAGATTAGTTCGCTGGTTGCAATTAGTTAACTGAAGTTTCACTTTCAGTGAATTTTGGATGGTAAACAGAATTTGGCATAAGCTAATTGGGTTACTGAATACTGCTGCATTCTTTCTTTCTTTCTATCTTTTCCTTGGTTCTATCCTATGAAATTGATTCTGCTTTCACAAAATTCTTGCCTCGGGTGCTTAACCCAGCTTGAACTATCTTCTTTCTGCAGAATCTTCGACAAACTTTGGATGACCTGACACGTAATGGTTATTCAGTGGTGTGTATGACAAAGGATTTCCATTTTCTTTTATCGCCTCAGTCAGTTTTGTTATGATCACCGCAAACCAAACATGCCAAGAAAGATGGTTATTAACGTTGCATGTTTTCTTCTTCTGCAGTGTATTGTGGAGGAAGTTCAGGGACCAGCACAAGCTCGAGCACGTAAAGGCCGGTTTATATCTGGGTAGGGATAGCTCTAGAATTTTCTGTTTTCACATGCAGCAAAATTTCAAGTCATGTTTGTCGGGCAAAATTTACAGTCATTTTCATTTCTTAGACATGTGTATCTTTCTAACATGTAATTTTAATTATTTAGGCATGCACATCCAGGAAGTCCTTATGTCTATGGGCTTGTTGGTATTGATCATGATCTTGACTTTCCAGAGCCAATGCCTGTCATTGGTAAGCATGCACCCTGGCAGCATGTTAGTCTGCTTCATATTTTCATGGAACTTTATTTGTAATTGTCCAAATCTTTATGTTTCGGTTAAAAGATATTACATGACTCCTCTCTGATTTCACAGGTGTATCTCGTTCAGCGAGGGGGTATTCCATGATCTCCGTCTTTGAGACTATGAAAACATATTCTCTGGATGATAGTCTAACTGAAGAAGCCTTGGTCACAAAGCTCCGCACCCTTCGATGTCATCATCTTTTCTTGCATACGTCATTGAGGAACAATGCATCGGGTTGGCATATAGTCTCTCCTCTTGTATTATAGTGATACCTTTGGTATATATCATTCTGAATTTGATTGTCCAGACATTCCTAAAGTAGGATGTTTAAGGGTAGCATATACTTCTGTGAGCAATACAGCAATCATTTTGAATGGTAATGATGTATATGTGCTGAACTGTTCATGATTTGTGTCCAGTAGAAGCTTACAACAACTTTAAGCACCATTATATTGTAGATTTTAGTTCAGTTTTTGAGAAAGCTTATCTACAGGAACATGTCGTTGGGGAGAATTCGGTGAGGGGGGCCTACTCTGGGGAGAATGCAGCAGCAGGCATTTTGAATGGTTTGAAGGCGATCCTCTTCCTGAGCTTTTCACCAGGGTTAGAACTTTGGATTTTGGCTACTGAATAGCAATTATATTTATATATATGTTATATATGTATATGCAATTTACTTGTTACGGTCAGTTTGGAAAATGGTTACTGTTTACTTTTCCTCTCAGGTGAAAGAACTTTATGGTCTCGGCGATGAAGTTCCCTTTAGGAATGTCAATGTACCATCAGAAAATAGGCCACATCCCTTGCATCTGGGAACGGCTACTCAAATTGGTTGGCATCATTTTTTTTTTCTTGTTTATCAATGTTTATTTTATGCAATATCTTGGACCTTAGTAACAGTAGACATACTAATATGTGTTCTCTTACTGCAGGTGCCGTACCAACTGAAGGAATACCTTGTTTGTTGAAGGTGTTGCTTCCATCAACGTGCACTGGTCTACCTTCTTTGTAAGCGAAGTTTCTTGAAGTAGAACATAAAATAATAGCCGTATTTTGAAAAGAGTATACATCTTTGGGAGAAAAATCTGATTTTTGTTGTTGTTTTTTCCTCTTCTACCTTGGTGCCATCATCCTTTTAGGTATGTCCGGGATCTTCTTCTCAACCCTCCTGCTTATGAAATTGCTTTGAAAATCCAAGGTTTGTCAGAGAAATTTTAGCTTGCTATCTTATCTGTTTATTATAGGATTAAAGCCCTGATTCTGCCTACTGGACTCTTCTTTTTGTAGAAACATGCAAGCTCATGAGCAAAATTTCATGCTCAATTCCGGAGTTTACTTGCGTCTCTTCTGCTAAGGTTAAAGTCACTTGTTGCAAACTATTCTTCCTATATATGAACATAAATGTGCAAGCTGATGCATACATACATACATACATACATACATATATATATAGATATTCAGTGCACCAATGAGATTTTTATCTTTTACCAATGGGTACAAACAATTACTCTTCCTATGCGGAATTTCCTTTGAGTTCACAATATATGCTAGATCTGTCGGGCTTCAGCTTTCTGTTAGATGCTTATGCATGCCATTTTCATGATTAGTCCATGTTTCAGCATCTAACTTCTAGATACATTTTGGTACAGCTTGTGAAGCTCCTTGAACAGAGAGAGGCCAACCATATCGAGTTCTGTCGAATTAAAAATGTGCTTGATGAAGTACTGCATATGTATAGATATCCTGAGCTTGTGGAAATCCTGAAATTATTGATGGAGCCTACTTGGATGGCTACTGGTTTGAAGATTGATTTTGAGACCTTTGTAAGTAAAAGCATTTTGACAATTGATATGATCCCTGCACCGGTCTTTCATGCCTTAATTAATGGATGGCTCATAGAATAAAGTGGTGATTTCGATACAATATATTCTGTATATCTGATAAAACGATTTCGGGTTCTTGAGCTGATACATGTGCTTATGACATGAAGTTGTTTGTATTTCTTGCCAGGTCAATGAATGTCAATGGGCTTCTGATACAATTGATGAAATGATCTCTCTCGATGATGACAGTCATCAGAATACAAGTCGATATGCTAAAATTCCGAATGAGTTTTTCTATGATATGGAGTCTTCATGGAGAGGTAGGGTTAAGAGAATCCATATAGAGGAAGAAATTGGTCAAGTGGAAGAATCAGCCGATGCTTTATCTTTAGCAGTAAGTATCCAAAGAATAAAACTGATGTCTTTCAATGATAGAATTGCAATTTTTTTTTATCTTTATGTTATTGCTAATCTTTTTGTATTCTTAATAAACAAAATAACTGTGCAGGTAACCGAGGATTTTCACCCTATAATCTCAAGAATCAAGGCTACAACTGCACCACTTGGTGGCCCGAAGGGAGAAATTGCATATGCTAGAGAGCATGAGTCTGTTTGGTTTAAGGGCAAACGGTTTATTCCATCGGTTTGGGCTGGTACTGCGGGGGAAGAACAAATTAAACAGCTCAGACCTGCTCTAGACTCGAAAGGAAAAAAGGTCGGTGAAGAATGGTTTACGACTCAAAAAGTGGAAGGAGCTTTAGTCAGGTTATTTTTTCTACTTTGTGGTACAAATCTCCCTAAAGGAAACCATTTTTCCACTTATGTTTTCATATATATATGCTTGTGTTGCAGGTATCATGAAGCTTGTGAAAAAGTAAAAGCTCGGGTGTTAGAATTGTTGCGGGATTTATCCGCTAAACTTCAAACTAGGATAAACGTCCTCGTGTTTGCATCTATGCTTCTGGTCATTGCAAAGGCTTTATTTGCACATGTTAGGTAATTTTAAGATTACTATTTCTCGCTTTAAGAAGTTTGATTCATGCTTCATATTAAATACCTCGCTGTGATTTTGCAGTGAAGGAAGAAGACGAAAGTGGGTCTTTCCTATGCTTGTGGGTTCCAATACACATGAGGTAACTATTAGGAGATTTTGTCTTGTTGTTACGATTGTACATCTTCGATTTGGAATATACCTGCTCATATTATTTCTCATGAATTTGTTATTTTGTTTTTTTGATTTGTATTTAATGGAACTTCGTTCTTCGTTTAATCAATAAAATGGAGCAATTTTGTTTCGATATTTAAATATGGTATCAGAGCATCCTTTTAATTCATCTCTAAGTCATTGTTTCAAGACATAGAATCACAGAGATCTCATGTTGAAGTGTTAAGGCAATACATGTGCAATGTATAAGCCTTTTCTGCTCACGCTGACCACCATCCTCATTCCAAAACTGTCACATTTCGATATATATATCACCCATCTCTTATATACCGTCATACATATACACATATATATGTCATGCAGGGCGAAAACCCATTAGACGGTCCAAGCAGGATGAAGCTAACCGGTTTATCGCCTTATTGGTTTGACGTAGCTGCTGGTAGCGCTGTAAGCAATACCGTTGATATGAAATCCCTGTTTCTCCTGACTGGACCTAACGGTGGTGGCAAATCGAGTTTACTCAGATCAATTTGCGCCGCTGCTTTACTCGGAATTTGTGGTTTTATGGTTCCTGCCGAATCAGCCATTATTCCCCACTTCGATTCTATCATGCTTCACATGAAATCCTATGATAGCCCAGTAGACGGGAAAAGCTCTTTCCAGGTATATATTTATGTATGCATATGATCCCGTTTTGCAACATTGTTTTCTTCTCTTTCGGACAAAATGAATTTGGGATCTTTTTGTTGTCTCTTCGCAGGTAGAAATGTCGGAAATTCGATCTATTGTGAATCAAGCTACTTCGAGAAGCCTTGTCCTTGTCGATGAGATATGCCGAGGAACAGAGACAGCGAAGGGGACATGTATTGCCGGTAGTGTTATTGAGTGTCTTGACAAGGTTGGTTGTCTGGGTATTGTATCGACCCATCTGCATGGAATCTTCAATTTACCTCTTACCGCCAACAATGTCGTTTACAAAGCAATGGGAGCCGAGAACGTTGAAGGGAAGACGATACCGACATGGAAATTGACCGATGGGATCTGCAGAGAGAGTCTTGCATTTGAAACCGCTAAGAGAGAAGGCATTCCTCAGGCAGTCATCCAAAGAGCCGAAGGGCTTTACCGCTCAGTTTACGCAAAAAACTCGAGTTCTGAAAGGGATATATCTTCTGCCGTGAATTTGGAAAGAAGTGGCGAGATTGGCAATCAGGGCCAGAAGGAAGTCAGTTCGGAGAGAAGCTTGGAGAGAGACTTAGCCGAAGCTGTTGTGACAATCTGTCGGAAAAAGATGGTTGAGTTATGTAAGAAGAAAAACATAGTGGAACCTGTAGCTATGGAGTGTCTTGCCATCGGTGTCCGAGAACTTCCACCTCCATCCACAGTTGGTTCTTCATGCGTGTATGTGATGGTGAGACCTGATAAAAGACTTTACATTGGACAGGTACTTATATGACTCTGAACTCTTACCTATCCAAATATCTACTGGAAAAAAAAACGTATATTCATATGATATTGCAGCGTTTGGTAGCTCTTACGGTTTACGTTAGGGGTGGACATGGGTCGGTACCCAAGATTTTCGGATTATTCGAACGCGAACCCAAATGTCTCGGGTCTCACGAGATTCTATCTGACCTCGGATCTGTTTTGTACTTGAAGGGGCATTATATCAAAAATACCCTTAAAATGCTATTTTAACTTCAACACCTACCCTTGTGACCATGTGACCAATGTGACCGAAATATAGTGTGGTCACATATTGATCTCATTGTTCATAACGTTAAATTTATGATGTTTTAATCAAATGATTAGTAAGATATACAAGGTATGAACATAATGAATTAGTGTGATCACCATAAATTTAACGTTATAATCGATAAAAATCAAAATGTGACCATACTATATTTCGGTCACATTGGTCACATGTGACCAGGGTAGGTCTTGAAGTAGAAGTAGCATTTTAAGGGTATTTTTGATAATGCCCCACTTGAAGGTCAGGTACCGGGATAATCTTTGGATATTCGAACCCGAGGCCTAATACGAAATTTTGAATTTTGTTCAAAATGTGTATCTCGGGTCTGTATCCAAGATTCTTGGGTTGCCCAAACTAAATTCAAAGATTCGAGAGATTTCAATTCAGAATCCCAGGAGTAGATGTAATTTATTCAAGACCTACTGACAAAAAGATACCCGATTTTCGGGTTTTCCTCATTAACAAAACCGATCTCATCTCATATAATATTCTGGTATCCAGTACCCAAATTCGGGTATTTTTTGCCAGCCTTAATTTTATGCATACATTCAAGTGACTATCTTTCACAGTGTGCAATGGATAACAACCGGGAAACGGGCAATATGGCTTCAATCACCAGACTACTAACATCAATGCCAACAAATTCTGAAACTTTTGTCTGTTTTTTTTTTCTGGATTCTTACGATGGGCATCCACTTTATCTTGAAATTGCAGACGGATGATCTTGAAGGAAGAGTACGGTCGCACAGAGCAAAGGAAGGATTACAGAGCTCGAGCTTCTTGTACATGGCGGTTCCAGGGAAGAGCATTGCCTGTCAGCTCGAAACGCTTCTCATAAACAAACTCCATGATCGGGGCTTCCCTCTTTCTAACTTAGCCGATGGAAAACACCGCAATTTCGGCACTTCGGACATCCTCGCTGTCTCTTGACTCTTCTTTCTCATTGTTGTTCCTGTTGATTCATCCGCTGTCTTTTCTCTTCCTCTGTGCAAAGTGTACTAGTCAGTTAGTTTTGGTAGGATGCGCGTCGCTTGTTTGTCGTTTTCGGATTCTGCAAACGGCACGCAGTTTTGCCATTGGATGCTGCAAATTTTGCCTCTTTTTTTTTGCAGTCTCCGGTGTAATGTTGCTCCACTTTGCTAATTGGTCTAATCCCTGCGATTAAGGAAGTTAATCTTTTCCAGATCTGGTATTTTTCTGCGTATATAATTAGTAAATAATACGATGTAGTATCTTAACGAGGAAGGCATAATAGTATTTTAATTGAATTCTGCAATAAAAATAAAAATACAACCGAAACCTGAATCCAATATCAAAGTAACAAAAAAACAGGAGCGAAATTAATTTTTTTTTTAAAAAATAAATATTATTTGTAAGAAAAATGAAAATCAAGGCAAAATTGGATTTGATATATAAATATATCGAAATTGAACGGATTTGGTTTTTTAAAACTGACAAGTTCAAAGCAGAAGTAAAATAATAGAAGAAAAAACATAAATGAAACCCAAATGTCCACCCATATGTATATTATTATGAATATAGAATAAATACACAAAAGAGAACGTACAAAAATTGAGAGAAGAGAGATATATATTATACATATATTTATGTCGTTTTAAAGTGGAATTAATGGGCCGACACTGGTCAGGCCCATATAAAACCGGGCCTAATATATCTAAAACCCGAGGAGGGGAGGAACTGTTTGGATTCAGAGAGATGAGGCCGATGCAGCTGGACATGTTGGCTGAGATGGAGGATCAGGGCTCGACAATGGCGATGGATGTTGATGAAGCTGACGCCATGGAGATGTTCGGTGAAGGACTTATCTCCGCTGAGAGCAAGCTCGCCGATGCCGATTTCTTCAACAGCTTCGAGGATGATTTCGATGACACTGACATCAATTGATTCGAATTTTTCTGCCGATGTATTTCCTCTATTAGGGTTTCGATTTGCCTTGAGAGTTCCGTCTCTTTGGGCTGCGATCGTCTATGTAAGTTTGAAGGATCGGTAATCTATTACTTCTACTACTACTACTGATCATCAATTTTCTCTATCGATTCCATCTTTGTTGGTTTTCGTTGTCTCTGTTGATTGCTTCAGTGTCGTCATTGTCGTTGGAAAATCAGGTTTTTTCTCATCTTCAGGATTGAAATTTCGGTTAAATTGAGCTTTACCTAGAAATTAGTTTCGAGAGTCTTCGCTGTAAACCCTTGAAAGCTATGCGGTAGATTCTCAGCAGATATCGGTGGAAACTTAGGGGCAAGGTTTTCAAATACTACATGTGATTCGTGAAGTTTCTCTTTTAAGTTCCTTTAATTTGTTCTCTTTTGTTGGATCGTCCTGGTCATACATGGCTGGAAGTTCTTGAAATTAAGGGATATTAGTTTGGTGATGAAACCATGGTTCATAGTTTGGGGAATATGGAGGAGGAAGTCATCATTCTGGATTGTACATTAGAAATGGACGTATTTCCGGTTAGAGGGTCAGAGACATTGATGCCTGTTCGTAACGTAGGCAAATGAATAAGGTCATTTCTGAATCTCAGGTGTTTGTCGGTGTAGAATTTAGAACATAGTTTGGTCCTTGTGATTGTTCATCATCGTCATATATTGATTATTGAGGGGTTTGATTTTTTCGGGATTTCGTATAGAGGGAGATGTGCATAGGGTAAGGTTTCATATTTCTTCTTTTTTGCCCGGGACATACATTTACAATGGTGTTTGTTTCCCCTCTTCTTGTCTTTACCCGAAATGCAACGGGTCGTTTTTAGTTGTCCCATCTGGGGTATTATTAAAAATACCGAATTTATGCTATTTTGATTTTAATCCATACCCCTCTCCACAGATGTGGAATTATAGTTTGATCACATAGTAGTCATATTGTTTATATCAGTAAATATCAGTAAATTTATGGTGATCATCATGTTCATCTCTTATATATCACAATAATTTTTGGATAAAACTATTATAAATTTAATATTATGACCAATGTGATCATCAGATCAGATTATGATTTTTTATATAATGTCATTTGTATTTGTGAAGTTAACGGCCTTTGTTGATGGGTATTAATTTGGAAGCAATTTTTGAATTGGATAATATATATATGGCAAAATTATAATTGGGGATTTTGTATGGTATATTTTGAAAGGCTTTGGGAATTTTTCCTTTATTATTATATTGGATATTGGAGGGGTTTAACTTGAAGAAGGATAACTATGTCGCGCGTGTGTAAACATTATAGTCAATAAGGATGATTCATGTCATGTGTGTGTAAACATTATTACTTAATACATAAGTTTGCCTGTCTTTGTTACTTCATATTGTCATGTTTGTATTATGCGTCTTCCTTACAGGTTAAAGCAATCTTTCTCATTGATTCAATTTTGATTCAATTTGATTTTCAACAGAACCGAGATTGCACAAGCAATATCTTACTCCAGAAGTAGTACTCGAGTACTCCCTAACTCTTTATCGAGAAGTGTAGACATAGTTATGAGAAAAATGGTTATGACTTCCTTGTAAGGATTAAATAGCGTAAACTTGTAATGTGGATCATGTATCCTGAACTATGTACCAACCTTTTTGATTAATATACCCAAATTACATCCAAAAAAAAAAAATTTATGACTGATTTCATAACGACCGAATCTATTCGAATCTTCGAAATCGTTGGAATATTCCAATGATAACAAAAAAGGGAAGTTTTACGATGTGATTTAACGTCGCTGTATGTTAGATGCGTGGACGCCGAGGAAGCCATACAAATATTAACAAGAAGATATTTTTATATATATATAAAAAAAAACAGCTCTTCAACAGTACAAAACAAAATTGTGTTAGGGCAAAAGATAATATGACACGTGACAGGTTGCTTTCGGACACGTGTGAGTGACGTGTTCGGATCGATACGTCTCTTCCGGCCCTACACTGTTTCGAGATCTCCGTGACCGAAAGACACATAAATTATTAAAATAAACATATTTAATTTGACTTACGTGTATTTGTCAAAATTACATTTGACGATGGGATAATTATTTTACAGATTTAGTCTTAAATCAGAACATTCAACTTTGTCCAAAAAGATTTGTCTTTTTTTGTTTTTGTCTTCTTTTTTTTTTCACCACAAAATTTCTGAGGTTAGAAACGCGTCTGTCGGCTGGAAGTACACGCGCTATGCCCATCTCCACCGTCCATTCTCACGCCAATCGAGGAATCCCTGCCGTCCCTTTATCCACTTGCCACGTCTTGCCACGTTGCATATGACACGTGTTACAAAATCAGTGGCTCGCGGAATCTTATCTGTTTCCCCTCCCTATAAATACAAGACCCGGCCGACCCCTACCGTCTCCTCCGTCACACAAAATTCAAACTAAAAAAAATTTCAAAGAGAAAGCTGTTGTAAAGAGGAATATTCGGAAGCGAACGAGAGAGAAAATGGCGCTCAATTTCACTCACCAGATCGGAGCTCTCGCCGGAAACCCGATCATTGCGGGAGACACGACATCAGCGGCGGGAGATTCGTCGTTGTCGGTTTCGCCGCCATCGGCGTGGAAACCAATGGGAATGAATATACAGTGTAAGATTCAGGGACCTGAGGCAAATCGGAGTGTGTCGCCGCCAGTGAGTCCGATCTCGACGCCGGTGCTCGGAGCGTCGCGGCCAGATCTGTCCGTGGCGTGCAGAGCTTCAGCTGTTGCGGCTGCGGCTGCGGTGGAGACGGCGGAGGAGCAGAGGATGTACAGGGAAGGAGGGATTGGGGGAAGGAAAGAGAATGGAGGAGTGCCGGTGTTCGTGATGATGCCGTTGGATAGCGTAACGATGGGGAACACGGTGAATCGGAAGAAGGCGATGAAGGCGAGTTTGCAGGCGTTGAAGAGCGCGGGTGTGGAGGGAATCATGATCGATGTGTGGTGGGGTTTGGTGGAGAGGGAATCGCCGGGGGTTTACAACTGGGGCGGGTACAACGAGCTGCTGGAGATGGCGCAGAAGCTCGGCCTCAAGGTTCAGGCCGTCATGTCCTTTCACCAGTGCGGTGGCAACGTCGGTGACTCCTGCACGTACGTTCTTCTCTTCCCCTCTCCATTGATTTTAATACCCTTTTGTCTTACATAATTCCTGCGAAACATCAAATACATTGTCTGCAAATGTGAGAATTTCGATACCGGTATGGTGTTTTCTTGGTGTTGGCTCTCAAGTATGTGCAGAGTACAAGTATTAGAGATTCTATAGATGATGGATTAGGAATATGTCTGATCCAAGGAGTTTGGATAAAATATTTCTTCTGGGAAAAGTATGGTAGGATGCTATGATCCTGGAATCTTCTAATCAATCTATAGAGACTCTATGGATGTCAGATCAGGATTCTTTTGTAATTAGTATATTAAAAGTTTTATTTTTTAATTAGAAATTCATGTCTTGAAGCAAGATTCTTGGTCCACCAAGTTTGTTCTTTTCGAGACTCTTGATTAATGGAGTAACGTGCACGGGATGGAGGCGACACATGACGAGTCAATATTTTAGTGGAGATAGATATAGATAGGTTCAAGAACCACGTGTTCTTGTCACGCTTCTACAATGTAAAAAACAAAGTCCACCAATCCCGCAATAACAGCGTTCTCTGTCATTAGAATCGATTTATATATCACCCTTATGCTGAAATATGATGGGAAGTGAAATTTGGGATAATTTATGAGATTATTGCGAGTTTGTACCGTTGTAGATTTCACCAGAACGTTGCTGGGAAATGGGATGATACTTGGTTATGTTGTTCTAATCAAAGGAACGTTTCCTCTGATGCAGTATTCCTTTGCCCAAGTGGGTTGTGGAAGAGATCGAGAAGGATCAAGACCTTGCATACACTGATCAGTGGGGAAGAAGGAACTATGAGTACATATCACTTGGCTGTGACACTATTCCCGTTCTCAAGGGCCGCACGCCTGTGCAATGCTATGCCGATTTCATGCGTGCCTTCAGAGACAACTTCAAGCATCTCCTCGGAGACACCATTGTGGTAAATTCAGTTTCTCATCCTTCCCCTTTCATATTGATGACGATGATGATGCACTACTTTTCATTTGATGGTCGGTCTGTGACTTTGCTTTCTTGATGATTCTTGGTTGTTGATCGAATTTGGGCTGAAATTTCCAGGAAATTCAAGTGGGAATGGGTCCTGCAGGAGAGCTGCGTTACCCTTCGTACCCCGAGCAGAACGGGACATGGAAGTTTCCGGGAATTGGAGCCTTCCAGTGCTATGACAAAGTACTTTTAACTTTTTCATTTCTTTCCTTCTTAAAAGACCTGTGATCATTTATCCGAAAGAGCACAGACTCATTGTTTCATGTTGACAATTTGTGCAGTATATGATTAGCAGCTTGAAAGCTGCGGCCGAAGCAGCTGGGAAACCCGAGTGGGGAAGCACCGGCCCGACTGATGCTGGTCATTACAACAACTGGCCCGAAGACACACAATTCTTCAGGAAAGAAGGCGGTGGCTGGAACACAGAATACGGAGAGTTCTTCCTCTCCTGGTACTCCCAAATGCTCCTGGACCACGGCGAGAGGATTCTATCCTCTGCCAAATCCGTATTCGAGAACACGTCCACCAAAATCTCCGTGAAAATCGCCGGGATCCACTGGCACTATGGGTCTCGATCTCACGCCCCCGAGCTCACGGCCGGATACTACAACACGAGGTTCAGAGACGGGTACATCCCCATCGCCCAGATGTTAGCAAGGCACGGAGCTGTGTTCAACTTCACTTGTATCGAGATGCGAGATCACGAGCAGCCTCAGGACGCGCTCTGTGCACCCGAGAAGCTCGTGAAACAAGTCGCTATGGCCACCCGAGAAGCGGAAGTAGCGTTAGCCGGGGAAAATGCCTTGCCAAGGTACGATGAGTATGCGCACGAGCAGATCCTAAAGGCCTCAGCTCTGAGCTTGGATGGGGACAAGAATGGCGGAAACAAAGAGATGTGCGCATTCACGTACCTGAGGATGAACCCTGACTCGACATTTCTTCTTCATATTCATAAAAGCGTGGATTTTTAAAACTGGGTACGCTGATGGGGTTGCAGGAGAAGGGTTGCAATGGAGACCAGACGAGGAAGGAGTGAAGACAATAGAAGAACTCAGACAGGAACTGGAGGTAAAGGAAGAAACCATTGGAGGGCTCAAAGAGAGAGTAGCTTTGATGGAGAAACAGCAATATGGAAATCAGAGAGAGATTGATTTACTGAGACAGAGTTCGAGAATAATCAGCAGCCAAGGCATCAGCAAGAAGGAGGAGTCATCACCTTCCTCCAGAAACCTGTCGATGTTCAGAAACACAAAGAGGCAGAGCGTTGCTGGGAAGAGGTGGAGAGAGAAGCCGAGCATTTCGTGCACGTCACGCAACCTTTAGTTCAGGAGGCCGCTGTTGCTCTTATGCACTGAGATTAGTGATTAGGGTTTTCTAAATTGACAAATATGAAATGATTGGTACATGCCCAAAAGATGATGGTAGGATCTGCAGGCTCAATGTATGTATAAGTATATACTAAAGAAATGAAATCGTATGTGTAATGATATGTTATAGCTCTGACTGTTTTTGTGGTCAGGCTTTGGACCTTTACTCTTCTATGGGAATTGATTTTCATCATCATCATCATCATCATCATCATCATCTATTATGCGAAAGAATGTTTCATCTTATCTCTCAGTTTCATGATTACACTTTTTAAGTACTATAATGCATTGATAACCACATTGAATATTAATTGAATATAACTTAATGCTTTTATATATAATCACATTGAATATTATATATAAAAGAATAATTGATAGTAAATAGTATATCTGAAAATAAAAATATGTCGAAATATTAGAATCTAAAGAGGTTATACTGGATATATCTAAAATACATGTTGGAAGACAAAAAAAAAAAAGGAAAAGGAAAAGGGACTCTCCCCACGTTATCCAATCGGCTGACACGTGTGCGATTGTAAACCCTCCAATTCCAAGCAAGGCATATCGAAATGGACAGCGATTAGTTAAATATTACCCAACTTCTCAGCCCACCATAATTACGTACACCCTCAATCCCACACCTGTAACGTTCCCACAAAGTCAAACAGATCTCTCTCTAACCTTATCTGACCACTCATAGCGTGCCACGTCATAATCAGAGTCCTGATGTCCCTGTGTGATCGCTCACAGAATCCACATGAGCCCCCTCGAACTGATCCACTCAATTCCGTCTCTCCGTTGCTGCTCATCTCCTCTCCCTCTCTCTCTTGCGATTCTCAGGGTTTCGGGCTTCTTCCCGATCGAAAACCCTGAGTCGGCCATGGAAGGAGAGTTTCAGGACTTTGAGATGATTCAGAGCGTGGGCTCCACGGCGGAGGATCATCCCAGGAGTATGGAAGAGATTGATGACGGCACGCAGGGTGTGATTAGGTTTGATTACTTCTCTCTCGAGAATAATAATAATGTTTGTCCGGGGGATGTGGCCGATGAAGACAGTGAAAATGGGTCTGTCGGGTCCGGTAGTCCAAGTTGGATCGAGCCTGGCTCTGACCCTCCGTATGGCAAGAAACATCCTTGCGAGTTCTGGTCGGATTCCAGTAGCGATCGGTCGGAGGACCGCAAATTAGTTGAATTTGGTGTGAATAACGATTTGGGTCTCGAGTATTCTGGGATAAGCGACGTGGGTATGTTTGATTTAACGAAATACAGCGGCAGTCTGGTCCGAGATAGGCATCTGAGGAAATATTGGTTACATTCCAGTGGAGGGAAACTAGATTCTGGTATTGCCGCAGAGGAAATCGATGATCTTTCTTGTGTTAATATGGGAAATGAAGAAGAACAATCCACAGTTTCAGGTGAATTAGTCAGCGGAAATGATCCACAGTCTTATGGACTCAAGCCTCTTGCAAATTCTGGTGACGGTGGAAAGAAAAACGGCTTAGTGTGGTGGAAACTTCCTTTCGAACTGTTCAAGCACTGTGTTTTCAAAGCTAACCCTGTCTGGTCTTTCTCAGTGGCAGCAGCAGTGGTGGGTTTTGTTATGTTAGGACGCAGATTGCATAAGATGATGAAGAAGAAGAGCCGTAGATTGCAGATGAAGGTTTCTCTGGATGATAAGGTAACTTTCTCAGCTTAATATTGGCCGCTCTGATTGTTCATATTGAATCCATATATAGGTAATAGGATGTGGTTGATAGAATTAAACTGAAGTTCCTTGGAACATTAGATTGCGGCTAAGGGTTTCTCTTTAGTCATTAGTTTACGTGTATCTTTACAGAATTCATGACTTTTACGGCCTTTGATGATATGAAGTATTTTGTGTTCATCTATTACATATTAATTGTACTTCTGATTTTCATGCTGTTTGTTAGAATAAGGGATTGAGGAGAGTTCTTCAACTGTAATCAGCTTTAATTTTCTTCACCATTCTCATGCTTCAACTGTAGAATAGTTATGGCTCTGCATCTTACATATGATCTGTCTCGTTGTAATTCACCGGCTATTATGAATGATCATTGACAGATACGATATTTGTATTTTGCATGTCATTCTACTCTGAATAGTGAATATCAATATATGTTTCAAGACAAAGCAAACACATTTTGTTTGTTATGCCTCTGATGCTGTCTTAACAGTGTCTGAATCAAACACTATCTGATGCGGTTGTAATTGAAATGATCAGAAGGTGGCACGGCTCGTGAGCCATGCCGCTCGGCTGGACAAAGTGGTTCCAGCGGTGAAACGAGTGCCCATTATCCGACCCGCCTTGCCAGCAATGGCTGTGAGCCATTTGCCTGTGGTGACTTTAAGGTGAAGCATTTCTCTGCGTGTGTGTGGACAAGCTGAAGAAAAGGCTTCATATGAGCGCGTGTGTGTGTGTATATATATATATGTGTGTGTGTGTATAAGGTGTGGTGGTGGGGATAATATATTTGTGATGATGAATGATTGGTTTGGTGTGTTGTATGAATTGTCTCAAATGTGTATAATGTGTGTTATCTAAGAATTATGATATATATGTATATATATAACGTAAATCACTAAATCCTAATGGTCTATATAATATAGAAACAAAATTAAATCTAAAAATATAAAATTATTATGGATCATTTTTCATATATAATTTTTTTTACATAAAGAAAGAATTGGAGTTGGATATGTCATATATATAAGCATAGAGGAGTGTTTGTCCGTAAATCTTATTTTGGTTATTAGAGTAAATGAAACATACAAACGACAACACAACAACACGAAATCGATAAACGAATTGGTATCTGAAACTTCAAATTAACTTTTTAGAAACATATCACAAAAAGATGCAACCCGACAATTGTTACGTGTGAAATTCGTTTAAACTCTTAGGAAAAAATAATCAAATTCAACTGTCATAACCGGATGATTACATTTTCACAAATTTCATCCCATCTTTTCCTATATATATATATATATATAACAATAACCGATCGTCATACCAAAAAATAAATTAATAACAAATCGGTATATACAGCTTCAAACCCCACATTAATGTGGAGTTCACGTGAAAGCAAAGAGCTTAAGACAAAAGCCGAAACACTTCTCACAGTTGTAGGAAGTAGGGACCACCGGTGATCGAATCTAATCGGCAATGACGTGGCAGCTAAGTGATCTCCATGTTCCATTCATCTTCCTCTTCCACTTCTTCTCATAAAACTATTCAAATCCGTACGATTTGATTGTATTTTTTGTTTGTCTCTTCGTCTAAATGATTTGGCAACTATGAGATCCAAACATGTGAACCCTCCCCTCCTTCGAAGTTCACGGGAACCATTATTGTTTGGAAATGAAAATCTAGAATATATATATATATATATATATATATATATATAGAATTAGATTTAGATGAAAAATAGTGTCCATCACTAAATAATTTATGGAATAGTTTTGGCCACCGGATCAGTATTTTGAAGGATATAAAGGAGATCATTTCAATTAAATATATAAAATTAAATCGAACCAAACTAAATATTATTTAACCATAAGATTTAAATTTGTCTTTATAGAAAACATATATTTTTTTTTTATAATCTGAAAATTCACTGAGATTTGATTCGATTACATCTCTCTGGAAAAACCCATGTGAGTAGACCTCCTCAAATGAGGACTCGAACTCGCGTTAAATAGAAACTTTCCTCTTTTCCTTTCCGCTATGAACCACCGAATTTTGGTTAAATAATATCTTTTACCGAAGAAAACACAAACTTTTATAAGAAATAAATATTTTTCTTCATAAATATAAATTGAAATCGAATTCAAATATAATTTGAACGGAGTTGAAACCCATACAAAAATTGAGTATTGTATATAACTTTTTTAAAAATCGAAAAATATAAAAAAAATATATAGTGCGTGCATGAATGAGTTTCAACCCATTTTTGCAAAATTCAAGTTTAATTAAAGATACAATTCAATTGTACAAACCTATTGGACTACTGTCTAGTTAATGTACAAATCCACCAAAACTATGATACTAAACGGAGTTTTCAAATGAAATTTCTCGACCATTAGTTTATATAAAAAGGGTGAGAAAACAAGGAAAAATCCTACAGAACCTAAACATAGGGAGATTTCATCACTATATATGGAGGTGAGAATGGGGGGATGGGTCCATCATGTTCATGGCATGTGACAAAACATTCAAAGCCCACCATTAATGGTTTGGTGAGAATTACCATCATCCTTCTCTCCACACCATATATATCTTCCCTGACACTTTCCATCAATCCCCTATATATAGAGCTTCCCCCTAATTGTACATTCCTCCAAAATCAAATCACCATCTCTCTCTCTCTCTCTCTCTCTACTGCTGTTGTTAACTTTGTCATCAGCTTCACCAGGTGTATTGACTCCATCCATCATATATGTGAGTGAGTTATTCCAAGCGAATGTTGTTGTTTTTTTTACTGAGAGTGAATTTGACTTTTTTTACTGCTGGAAGTGTCGAAGAATTGGGTGAAGACAAGAAGACTAGACTGTATCAGCATGTATAAATACACCTGTAAGAGACCAGACTCTGCAAGGCCACAGAGTGGAGCTTCTTCACTATAAGTAATCAGATCTCTTCATTGAATGAAGGAATTAAGAAATCGAAAGCCAAGAATCCATCACAGGGAAAG